GTTTTTTCCAATTCCATCAATAGTCTATCCTTTTATTAAATTGCTGTACAAATGGCAACCATTTATGTTAAATGAATTCGGCCTTCCGAACACCTTAGAGCCTAGCATGATTTGCTATAATGCGTCAATTTGTAACATGCAGTTGCGCAACCTTCAGAAACCTCTATTGACATTACAGGGATACAGTTGTTATCACCTTTCGGCTTTTGATATAATTAATGACTTCGAACTTTTGTTCGATAGAGTTGCCAATGCCACGCTGGTCTTAACAAGACTGCAAAAAGTCTTTTCGCATTGCCATCATTTGGCACTCCATCCACATTTGTACCGGTGTGAAAATGGTCTCCAGATTTCTCGCCATCGATTGTATGACAAAATTAATGATTGCTATACAACTACTAAGGATGATGAATCAATCAACATTGGAATAAACACATGCAATTTAACGGATCGTTTCAAATGCATCACCTTCAATGGTATAGAAACTCTTGAATGCATGCCGAAACGCTTTTTACGTGACAATGTAGCAGATTGCACAAGAAACGTGGATGAGTTATTTCCAGTAGAGTGTACATACGAATACGATTGTCAATATATTCGCAATTTCAATTTCGAAAAATCGCTTCCGATTGTTTATGGCGAACTATGCAATGGCTTCTTTTTACCGATGTCGAGCCTGCTTACCGAGGACGAGAAAGATTGCGATGAATGGCCCTGCCAGGCTCGAGCCCATCGATGTGATGGAGTATGGAACCGACTGAACGGATGTGATGAACTCAATTGTCCTGACTCAGTGCCTAGTTATCTTTCACAGGTAGTCGCTAATTGTTCCATCGATGAACATTATTGTCTTCACTATAACAAATCAACGCTCAGTTGTTTGCCCCTTTTAAGAAACGGGGATGGGAAAACTGATTGTTTGTTTGCGATGGACGAACGAATGACACCTAGAAGACTATTTCAGGTTGTGAAGGCCGATAACAAAGGCTTTCACTATCTTAACAGAGGCCGATGCTTGAACTCAGATATTTCTTTCGTTGGCATTGAAGAGCTCTGTGACAGAAGATCGCAGTGTCCACTCAAAGACGATGAATTACTCTGTCCGTGGCATACTAATAGTGCCTGTTCTTCTCTAGAATTTACTTGTAAAAACGGCACATGCATATCGAAAAGAAAACATTGTGATAAACATATTGACTGTTGGCCACTTGCTGAAGATGAATGGGGGTGTGATTTTAGCAATTCTAGGCTACAAATCGATTATCTTCCTTTTACGCTGACAGGATTCAATACTGAGCCTCGTGAACAACAGATCGAATCTTTAGCAGTGCAAATGGATGAAAATTTTTCCTCCAACAAAAATCAGATCGTTATCAAAGACCCTTACGTTATTTTTTACTGTCATCGTGGAATTCTGATGCGTTCAAAAGATGGTAACGACGCTTGTATTTGTCCTCCAAGCTACCACGGAACTCGATGCCAGCATCACAGCCAGCGATTAGCTATTACATTTCGAACAGAGATGCCTCCTGTTTTTGATCAGAGTACAATTTATCATCTGGTTTTTGTCTTGCTAAATCACGATCATAAGGTGCTCACCGTCGAAACGGTCCTTCATATGCCTAGCAAACAGTCAGCTCTCAAGCATCTCATCTATCTTGTATATCCACGTCACATCGATCAATTGTTGAACAGCAACTTTTTCCTTCATATCGAAGCATACACTGTCACTCCAACTGAAGTACGACCTCTGTCTCTTGCTTGGTACTGCCAGGTACAATTCTCGTTTCTCCCAGTCAATCGAGTGGCGCTCAAACTTGATCTCGAACCTATGCTACTGAATAAGACACTTTGTCATCGTCTTGGATGCGTTCATGGCCTATGTACTTCCTACGTCAATACTCGTGACAATCACTTTTGTTCGTGTCATCGAGGCTGGACTGGCTTCATATGTAACCAAAGTCTGAATGTTGACCCTTGCACACACCTGAATTGTGACCCTGCATATTCAAAGTGTGTTGTTCATGATGATCGCGCTATCTGCCTGTGCACTCTAGGCCACATTGGACACAGCTGCCGCGTTCCATATAATGCTTGTGATGGAGTTCGCTGCGAAAATAACGGTCAATGTGTATCACTTGACGAACGTGCTTTGCAGAAAGTGTGCATCTGCTCTCCTGATTATTTTGGCGACGTATGCCAGTTCAAAATAGCTCATCTGATAATACAAATTCCACATACTGCTGAATTCATCTCGGTTATGGTCGTACACTTCTTACACACACTCAAAAATACTCCGGGCTTTTTGTCTCATCGGGACACCTATTTTCTGAGAAACATTCATTCACACACACAGATCACTATTCGTGATAACCAACAACAATTTCTGCCTCCTATAATCATGGTACAAACGTTCGTCGATCCACATTCCTACTACGGATCCTACTATCTGCTATCACTGTTGGACGATAATCGCACTAGCCTAACAAAAACTCTGGCTTTCAAGAACCGTTGTGTGAATGTTAGCGAACGACTAAATACAACGATCATGAATTTCAACTGGATCAAACGGGCCAAACTCTATCATCACTATTTCAAAGATGTTTGCTGCTTCTTTGACGAAGTCTACATGTGCCTTGTCGATCGTAATCAATTCATTGATTGTCTGATTTTCAACTATGAGGTGGCGAACTGCACTGATCGAAATTATTGTGAAAACGGAGGACGATGTTTGCAGAACAAACAAGCAGGTCAAGTTCAGTTCGCCTGCATCTGCCCCGGATGCCACTATGGATCATTCTGTCAGCTCACTATGACGCAATATTCGCTCACTCTTGATTCCATATTTGGTCAAGAAATTGTTACAGATGCGTCTCTCTATCAGCAGAAGCCATTTATTAAGATCACACTTGCTCTGGTTGTCCTCATGTTTGTCGTTGGAAGTGTTTCAAACATTTGTTCCATTTTCACATTTTCTGACGTTGATATCCGAAGCAATGGCTGTGGCTTCTATTTCTTTATTTTCTCAGTTGGAAGTCAAATCAGTTTGATTGCCTTTGTCTGTCGATTCATCTACCTTCTCGTCAGTCAGATGACAACCATTTCGAACAGACAATTTCTCAACATTAGCTGTATGATGTTCGACTTTCTTTTCCAATTGTCAGTCTCCTTTTGCGATTGGCTCTCAGCCTGTGTGGCCTGTGAGCGAACTGTGAGTGTAGTGAAAGGCATTAAGTTCGACAGAGCACTCAGTGTTCGCATGGTCAAGTTTGTCACTCCAATGTTGCTAGTGAGTCTTACCCTTACGTCGATCCACCAGGTGTTCAGTCGACAGATAGTTCGAGATCCACGTTCAGAAGAGCGTCTCTGGTGTGTTGTCAAGTTTTCGAAGGATTGGCTGAGAACATACGATGCTGTTATGAGTCTATTCAATAGTATTGCACCGTTTATAATCAATCTTGTTTCAGCCACAGTACTCTTAATTACTTTTTCTCGTACCAGACAAAAAACGGCACAGAAGACATATATGAATATTCTAAAGAAACAAATCAAGGCGCACAAGGACCTGATTGTGAGTCCCATTCTCATGATTATCTTCAAACTGCCCATGCTGATTGTAATCCTCGTCATCAAATGCATCAAATACAAATGGCAGCTCTATCTTTCGACCGCATCCTATTTCTTGGCGCTGATTCCACTGACGGCCACGTTCGCAATATTCATTTTACCCGCTCCATCATATGTCAAGATTTTTCTTAGTAGACGGACCGAACTGTTCAAGCGACGTTAGAGACCGCAAGCAAAGATGCATAAACATGTTACTGTATTCATTTTAACACTATGTTCTAGTGTTTGTTTTCTCTAGACTCAAAGGATCAGGTCTAACAAGGGGAATTTACTTATTTCTGTCAAGCACACTATAAACGCCAAAAGCGTTCAATAGCTTTTCTTGCATGTTGAAATGGACAATCTCAATAGGCATGCGTAGAGATGGTAGGCGACACTAGCGCACGCAATCAAATACGTTCTCTTCTTTCATCGTTACAGGTGACGCGTCTAATTAATTTTGTGAAACACGATCTAAAAGGAGTGTTGAAGTATATAGGGTAAAAATTTGAACCTACTGCCCCCTCCTCCCTGTCTCCATAGACGTGAGAGACACCCTAAGCAATGCATTCTCTCCGTCCCCACGCAATCATTCAGTGAGTATTTCGAGGTGTTAATCTGAACCATCCGATGGGTTGATAAAATTAAGAATTGTTCACCCATCGTCGTCCCCTCAACCTACCGGAAAATGACACTCCGACGTGTTGAGATGAGGGCATGGTAAATTCCGCTTTCCAGGAAATTCAAACTTGACTGCGCCTCAAGTGAAGAATGGTTTCAAGAATGGTGTGGTATTGGTTGGGTTGAGTTGAGAATGTAAGGGATGGTATGGGTTGGGATGGGTTGGGTTGGATTGGGTCGGGTTGGGTTGGGTTGGATTAGGTCGGGTTGGGTTGGGTTAAGTTGAGAATGTAAGGGATGGTATGGGTTGGGTTGGGTTGGGTTTGGTTGAGATGGGTTGGGATGGGTTGGATTGGGTTGGGGTGGGTTGAGTCGTGTTGAGATTGTATGGCATGGGATGGGATGGGTTGGGTGTGGATGTGGGGAGGGTGTGGGTGTGAGTGGGTGTGGATGTGCGGAGGGTGTGGGTGTGAGTGGGCGTGGATGTGCGTGTGGATGTGAGTGTTATTTTCTTTTAAGTCACACCCACACCCACATTCACACCCACACTCACATCCCACGCTCACACCCACACCCGCACCTACACCCACACCTACGCCCACACCCACACCCACACCCACACCACACTCACACCCACACCCACATCCCACACCCACACCCACATCCCACAGCCGCATTTACACCCACACCCACACACCCCTAGTTTCAAGACGTCGTGCCTTGTTTAATGAACTACCTAAAGAAAATTCTCTAAACTAAATAAACATGATTTCTCACATACTCATTTCTCGTTGAGAAGGTAAAATAGCAATTGTTGCTAGTGTCAACATCATTTTTGCTAATTCTTCTCCATAAATCTTTGGTATAGGGGTACTTTCATTAATAACACGTTCTTTCAAGACTTGTTTGAAAATACGAATTTTATTTTTTTCTGGTTCAATTACATGACAATGATTACCTTCAGTTTTTAAGAGAACATTATTTATATCGGTATGTACTGTTACATCACATTCTCGATGCTCGCATCGATAGTATTTTGTTGTGGTAGTTGTTTTATTCAACTTGAATACGTAATTATCAATGACAAGCATTGACTTTCCTTTTTGTGACAGAATAAAAGATATTGTGTTTGAAGAAGAAGTCATATTATCTACAGATACATATAAAATGAAAATAACTATTGTATTGCTACCTCAGTCAGAAATAAAAAATAATAATAATATAAGACGTATTATAATCGTTGTTTAATTAAATAACTCCACAAAATTCATTTTGTTTGTTAATACCCAGTCAGACAAAAATTTCGAAAAACGCGTTTAAACGCACAATCGGGAACCGCGACTGTGATCCATTCACACTCATTAAAAAAACGCACGAAAACGCGTTTATTGGCGTTTTTTGTAACTTTTTGGGCGTCAAAACGACGAAAATTCCAGTTTTTGAGCGTTAAAACGTATTTTTTTAAAGTTCTAGAATAATAGTGCGTTTTAACGCTCAAAAACTAGAATCTCCGCCGTTTTCACGCCCAGAAAGTTACAAAAAACACCAATAAACACGTTTTCGTGCGTTTTTTTTAATGAGCGTGAATGGATCACAGTCGCGGTCCCCGATTGTGCGTTTAAACGCGTTTTTCGAAATTTTTGTCTGACTGGGTAATAAGTTTTAATTTAGAAATAAATCAAAAAATCAGTAATGTACAGATATCAATGAAAACAAAATTAGGAATAATGGAATCTAACTCGCTCTACTTTATGTGTATATAGAGACAGAGAGATCGTCCTAATAGAGGTAGACATCAACACAAGCATGGACCAACCAAATGAAGAATGTTAAAAGATTAGATTGGAGCCCAGCGATCTCTTAACGTCATAACTTTCAATATTTTTCTTTTCGCGATTTTCTCTTTCTGTTTTCTTTCTACATTTTTCTTTTCGACATTTTGTCGTTTCGACTTTTTCTTTTCGGTCTTTTTCTTTTCCATATTTTGACGTTTCTTCTTTTTTCTTTTCTCTCTTTTTCTCTTCTATATTTTTCCATCGAAATATTTTTTCGACATTTTTCTTTTCGATATTTTTCTTTTCGGCCTTTTTCCGTCCATTCCCATTTTCCATTAGTGAGCCACTAATGGCGATGAACTACAAGTCTATTATCGTGTCATGTTTACACCACCTAATAAAATAACGAACGAGTGGCATACATACACTCAGTTACTTATATTTTCAATTTTCTTTAGGTGCTAAAGGATAGTTTTGCAATCTGCCTTGGGCCTCATTTAACCCTTTCTTGCCTTTGACTAAACTTGAGGGTTCAGATGGACGATTCGCTCAATAAAAGTAATATTATGACCCCTAGTATACGTAGGAGAAGTTTGAATCAAATCCATTAAGTGTCAGTATATTAGATGCATAATACGTTTGTTATTCTTTTTATTTGAAAAAATGTCTGAAAATGACAACAAAGCAAGGACAATAGTGTGATTCATATACATATATGAACACCGCATTCACGTCGTGCACTGTCAGTTGCATTGTCGTTTGTTTAGAAATTTGAAAAATCTATTCTTGTAGTTGATGAAATAATTCGAAATGATTAGTTTCAGCGTAACAAAGCCAAACTTTACATTTCTTACAGTAAGCGCTGGTTTTTTTACGACAGCCAGGAAATTGATACCATTTACTTTGGAAATTTCTTGCTGTGCCATTTAAATCTTTCCAACCAGGAAAATGTCCAATTTGATCATATCTTGAAAAGTCATTCACACTAAGTGTCATTGATTGGACACCGGCAAGAGATATAACTAATTTTTGAGCTAAACTCAACTTGAAGTTCAAGAGATCAATGCCAGAAGATATTATTTGTTTATAAATGAGCCACGAGTTGATGATAGAAGAATCCAGAAAATTATAAAAAAATTTTCGATACCACTTGTTTCCTTTCAATTCAATTCGATATAAGCTCATGAACATGTCAAAATGATCTACTCCGTCCATGCATTGATTGTATGCGTTTATTGAATATGGGCGTGATATTGTTATGTGAGTTTTACTTTTCCGATCAAATCTTTCGATTTCACCTACAGGCAAGGGACCAAAACAGTTCGAGGCTACGTAAACTGCTTTATTGTCAAACCACTTTGTAACCACTAAGTGTCCGTCCTCAGTAGTTTGAAAATCAAATGATCCTCTACCCTGTCGTTCCAGTTGCTTATCAGATTTTAGCAAAGACGAATTGAACCGATTTGCTCTCATTGTAGATACAACATAATATTGTTTGGCATTTAGAAATTTGAGTAATTTAATGGTTGCGAAATAATTATCATAGCCAATAAATGAAGTTTTAGGTAAACTTTCTGTAAGTCGGATCACAACGTTACCAGCTGCTCCGACTTCTGAGTCTACAATTGTTAAATGATTGTCGCCTTCAACTTCAAACTGATATAAATAGCCTGACTTTCCTGCACGTGCATACATTTTGTAGCCCCATTTATGAGGTTTGGAGGGAATATATCTTTTCAAGCTGCTGAATCCCTTGTGCGGCACTATTTGTTCATCGACACTACAAATTGCCTCTGGAAATGTCGCTGATTGAAACTTTTCATTGAAGCGATTTATAAGTGGTCGGATTTTGAAAAGTGTATCATAATTATGATCAGTTTTTGTTGGTTCATCTTCATTGTTGTTAAAATGTAGGATCGATAAAATTTCATCGAACCTATGACGAGTCAAAACAGATGATATGAGTGCTTGTTTCGTAGGTTTCGACCAATACATTCGATGTCTTGGAAGACGAATTACTGACATATATATCAATACAGCAATAAATTTCCTAATGTCTATCTCTGATACATCAGAAATTTGAAATACCTTTTGGTTTTTATATCTGTTTGATTCAAATGTAATTTTTTTAATCAATGCAGCATCTATAAAATACTCAAACACAGCAAGCGGAGTTTTTTTGAATAGGTTGACGAAATAAGAGACAGGATTCAATTGGCTTTCAGGAAAACAAATTGAGTTAAAAGTTCGACGTTTCCATTTGATTTCTTCTGATTTCTTTTTCTTCGGAGGTGATTCTTGACTGTCTTCATCAGAGTTATGATCGATATGATCAATCATATGATCAGTTTCATCGTCTTCGGAATTTGAACTTCCGCTGGGTATCGAGATAAACATTTTTCAGAGTAAAAAAGGTCAGAACAACTGAAGCAATAAACTCTTGGTTCACCTGGACGTAATAATCGTCTGATAGTCTTAATAGAAGACTATTTTATTGTATTATTCTGTATCTGATCTCAAGATGCTGTTATATTCACTACACATTTACAAGAAAATGATCTTCACAGGTAATGGTCAGTACAAATACCTGAGCAACGAAGAATGAAATTATACTAAAAATATTGGAATATACTTCAGTCAAATCGAAATGAAAGTGAATGCATTTAAATATACTTCAACGTACAATTACAGAAAAGAAAATACGACATACGCTATTATCAGCGCGTGACGACAGAAAAGAAAGAAAAAAGAAGATATATACTCCAACGAATATTACTAAAGTAGAACAAACAAATCTTTCTCTCATGACATGATCATAGTGCGTACCATAACGTTATGTATTCATAAAACGTCAAAAATATTATTTTTATAGTAGAGAATAGTTTCAAACTGTTGATTTCGTGTACACAATATACAGACTTTAAGTAGATGTAAAATCCTTTTCTAAATGTCTCATAGTTTAAAAGAATCAATTTTTTATAAAATGGTATTTATAAATACCATAGGGCAAGAAAGAGTTAATATAAAACTTCTAATGGTTAACTTCGTTTTGCCAATAGAAGTTTCTGTTCGGGCTAAGCTCACACAATGAATAAGTGTTCAATTGTAGTATTATGTTCGCCGTTTCGTTGACGACGGAGGCGGTCGGTAATGCCAGACCAGTGACGATTTCCAAGGTATTTTCGATGGCATTGTAGCTGCTTCCACGATTAATATTGACTTCGGTTTTCTTGCTCTTCCTACATTTGATTTTCTTTCCCAACTTGACTAAGAATCGTCCACAATAGGAACTCTTCCAAAATTCATTCATATAAACTCTGCATGGATAAATATACATTAGAAATGTAAGTGCCAATGTTAAATTTGTCTGTAGTCTCGTAATTGTTGTCATTTTTCCAACTAACTTGGTGTTTGCCGTTTCACATGTCATTACCTTACCAAGAATGAAATAAGGACCAGTGAGAATGGTGAAGACAAGTGCTGGTACTGCGAGACCATAGTGCTGTCTAATGATCAGGCATAATGATTCGAATATAGGTTCTTCATTGAGTAAATTTTGACGATGTCTTAATAGATGTAAAATAATGAAATCTGTCGAAATGAAAAGAGCAAGTGGAGCAACTAAATAATGTACATAGTGAAATCCTGAGTAGAAGACATAGCCTGTCCAAGTTAAGTTCAACGTACAAAAGTCATATTCAGGTTTACGGCCAAAAACTATAGGTAGGATAGTTAACAAAGGAATAATTGTGAAGAGAAAAAGACAAGAGATCAAGGAACGTCGATGCGAATCGTAAAGACTAACTTCCATATATTCAATAAGTACACGTTCAATTGCTATGTATAAATTGAGCCATAATGAGCAGAAGAGCACCGAGTTCCTAAATAGTGAGCTAATTGCACATTGCACGCTGTTCATCGAAATCATTAGTCTAATAATGTGTAATATGGCAAACACACCTTTAACTGTCGCATCAGTTAAACAGCCTAACGAAAATAGAATCAGGTAGACGCCAAGATTTGTAATACGGATCTTTTGACTGCATAAATACGTTTGTAAGGCTGGAAGGTTACTCAAAATAGACAGTAGTCCGATTACTGTTAAACCGATTGTTTGAATATGTGAGTTATACTTGAAACGATTCTCATCAGATATACCCAGTTCCCATAGATTTTGTGAATATTTCTCTTGTTCGCAGAGTGGACCTGTGAAACAGAGTGAGCAGGCACAACAGGAGTCATTGTTTATACACGAATCAACCAAACAATGACTAACGTTTGCCATGAAATAGGCTAAAGTGTATATTCACTTATTC